TTTTATCGGAAGACTCTGCAACACGAATCAGATTCATTACTGCAGACCTAAATTGTTTCGTGAAACTTCTGATACTGGTCTATAGAAATCAAAGGCAGGCAGACTCCATGGAGCGGAGGGCCCTTAGACTCGCTCAGTTATTCAAGAAATTGCTCACTTTTGCGGAACCCGAGGTTTCATTACCGAGTTCACGAGAGACCGCTACCGGTCCCTATACTGCGCCAGATGAAGCCAATGCACATCACCCAACACTTTTCCCACATGATCCACGCTAATATCATCCTCCATCCTACTCCTAGTCTACCGAATGGTCTTGTCCCTTCTAGCTTTCCTACCGGAACTTCTTGTACTCATGTCTCATCGTCCTAATCAACCCCGTGCGTGCTACATATACCGCCCATTCCATCGTCTTTGATTTAACCATTTTAATAGTATTTGGTGATGAGCACAAATTTTGGAATTTATCACTATGCAGTTTTCTCCAGCCTCCTGTCACTTCATCACTCTTAAGTCCAAATGTACTCAAACAGCCCATATCTGCGCTATTCTACTGAATGTCGTGGTCGGTTTCGTATACGTGAGGTACCGGCTGTCCTGACAGGCGTTTCGTGTTTTTTTAGTCCCTCCAAACAAGTGCTGGGATAGTAGCCCATCTTAAAATATGCCACGACCACTTCCTTCCACATCCATTCGAAGTCGCTAGTCATCCTGCGTAGTCCGAGCTGCTTACAGCATCGTTAAATAAACCTGAACCTATTTTATAAAAATAAAATGTGTTCTTTCCTTAATGCGACAGACCAAATTTCACACCCACATAAAGCACGTTTATTAACTATGTAAGCTACAGGATGGGCGGAAACACCAACAAGTTTGACTTACTTGCGGGAGACGTCCTGTTCGAATCTCGACCGGTGATCGGTCATTCTTAAATTTTCAAATTTTCAGGGATTCCCCAACTCCTCTAGGCAAGTGTAAGTATAGTGCTTAAATAGGTCGCATCGCTTCCTTCCAAATCCGTTCACACTCACCCTATCTCACTCGACCCTATAAGCATCTAACTTCAACAATGTATGAAAATAATTCAACATCAAATTCTTGTATGTACCTGGAACCCTTTTCTTAGCGGTAAAGCTTCCGGGAAGTGAAACTGTAGACTCAAGTCTATGTAGGCTGGTGCCAAGGCTAAGAATGCTTGGAGCCTTGCTCCACTCCCCATACGTCTTTATGCCACAGAATTCATTTTGTCACCAAGGACAACTTTACCTTTACCTTCCTATTTTGCGGTGTAATGTACACTTGTTTCGAAATTCAGTCAGTCTACACGTTATTACTCATCCACGAAACGTCTTTCTGCTTGTACGACGATCATCATAACCTGGTGCAGACTGGACTTTGCATCACCAATTGATTTTCTTCAAATGCCCAGGCCTATTATAGAATTAGAGAATCTTATATTGTAGAGCAAGTAGGTCACAGTGACGGAAATAAGAATTTTGGCGTTTATTAAGCTTACAGAGTTTCACAAGTACTATTTTTATTGTTATAACAGTCGTAAGTGTTGAAAGTCTTTGGAGTGACGACGGAGCCAGTTGATTGAAACCTTGTTTTAAAAATGTTCTGTGCCTCCTGTTCTCCAGCAAAACATTACTAACCGCGCAATGTCAATTTGAAAAGCGCCTTTTCCCTTGTAGTAGATTTCTTTTCTTTGAGCGTAACAACCGTCACTCCATGTACACGTTACGTTTATCAGTGGCTGTGATAGGATCTTCTGGCGCAGTGTAACGACAACACCAAATTAAATGTTCACGGTAATGAACGTCCGGTTTCTGAACGACTGTTTGCTTCCCAAGGACGACTGTATTCCATGAAGTTAGTTAGCAAGAAGAAAATAACAATTTGTGCTACTGGGTTCTCTATTATTTTTGTGTTCTGCGTTATACATCATTCGAGAAGCGTTAGGCATTTGTCGCACATTCTCTAGGCCTTTGAAGAAGTCATTCCTTCCTTACATAAAAGTGCCGTTCTGTAAAGATTGCAAAGAAAATTCCCGAAAGAGGATTTGTCAGTAGGCCAGATCTAGCTTACCCTCTCATCATACTTTTCTTTCCATCGATCGCCCATCATAATGTAGGGTATCGATGCATCTATAGAAACTGATAGTATAGGCCTATTCCTAATTTCGATTTCTAATCATGTGCTTACATTGAGGGGAAGGGGGCTAAATCACAAAGGTACCAGTCATGTAATTTCACCCTAGTTTCAAATAATTTGGACCTATATAGCCCACACTTCGTTTTCAATTACCGCTGCTGCATATTATTTATATTCTTTCCCACGGCAATAGGTCCTGTCTTACAACCACGCATTAGCCCACGTTTGGTAAAATAAATTCATAGGTCTAAATAAATGTCGATTATTGAAATTGTGTGCTTCACGTAATACAGTCCATAGGCTTGTACTCTTTGCCAACAGCTTGAGTGGGCTGCAGTGGTCACTTTCATACCGCGACCGCTTACTAGTGGGCAGAGTCCCCACGAGGTACCGGGTAGAGACTCGGTGGGAAGCGGGGCCGGTCCGGACTTGTGGCGAGGAGAAAACTCCCTGCCTGTACTGACAGAAAAATTCCGGCCCTAGGAAATGAAACTCATTTATATTGTAATAATTTCGTCGTATTTTTCCACCGGCCTGCAATGACTTTGTTATAACGACAACCGCTCCTTGCCGGCCGACACCTCAGGCTTTTTCTTGGTCTGCACCGTGTAAGGCCTACATTCAGAATATGTGGCCACAATTATTATCATTGCTGTGGGGTAATACTATGTCTCTGTAGAACTGGGCCTCTGACGGGATCTTTTTCCATTCTCGTATGAAACATAAGTTAATATGGAACGGCGGTAGTATGATAATAACTGGATAAATAGAAGGATACCGTATCAGGGTCACTTCGTCCTCCACAAATCCCACGTGGACTGATCTGGGCCGAAACTCCGGTCTACTGGCGACTAGCAGACTGAACTATGGAACTACGAAATAGGGCCACTTCATTATCTTGTTCGCTACCCAAAAGCTTGTGTGTTAGATACAGTTCAGTCATCTGAACAGCTACTAAACCTAGAGTAAATTGTATTTCAGCTTCAACAGACGCCTGGTCTTAGCATTCTGTTATAGATAGTTAATGTATTTTAAATTTCTAAATCATTCTTTCTCGTATCTTCTAAATGTATCTCAGTATAACGTAACTGTGTATTTGTGGGTATGCACCTGACTTACGCCCGTATTTCAAGTCTTGAAAAACTGAAAATTAGTTCGTCTTACCTCTCCTGTAATCGTCTGTCATACCTCTTCTACGAACAGGACTACGTTTAAAAACTTTTAAAGTACTAAAATGTTTTCCTGCAATGAAGCGTACGTCAACAATAACAGAAAAGACTATTGAGGTACGAAAATAACTGACTTACGATACAAGAAAGGATTAAAGAATATTTTGAACACGGATTCTACTAGACTTGTGATCTGTGAGCGTGCCTTTGCAGTGAGCACAGAAGAATCTTTTAAGATAAACAGAATTAATTTACAACGTAGTCTGTTATTCTCTGTGCAACTCCACAACTCTAAGCCTATTTAATTCGCATGAACATGTAGGTTTCAAGAAAGCATTAATAACTTGCAGTGCTGAATAATGATTGTGTGAACGCTCTTCAAGGCATCCATAGTAGTTTCTAGGTCTGTAAACTCTGCCTAAAACTATATTAATTTTCTTAAAATTTTACGACAGTGGTTCGATGATAATAAAGTCCCACCTGAATGTAACTATCGACTGTTGAAACAATCACGACAATAGTAACCGCATGTTATAGAGGTTTTTATGATAAGAATTACAACGACAAACTTTGCCTTGCTGAAGTAATAATGTGTTGATTATAATAACGGCAGCTTCTGTCAATAGACCTACAGACCTCTAGTGGTTCAACAACTTCAGTGGCACTAAGCCGGTATCGATGGTGACAACGGAAATGGTCTTTAGATGTTCAAATTAATGTTGCATTTGTATGGTAACAATGCCAAATGGAAACGAAACTGCTTTTTTGATTACGGAACAAGTGACAGTCTAATGACGGAATAATCACAAGTCTTCTAAAACTGTGATGATAAAGCGACTAGGAAGATAATGGCTACTAACTGCAGTGTTTACACTAATATACCGTACCTATACGCTACGAACCCTAAGCATTAAATACCTCCTCCTGTCAGTTTGAATTCCAGCAACTGGGCTACAGATTCACGTACGACAGAAGCGTGTACTTTGCTGTTTCTAACAATATCTGGAAAGGCAAAGACCGTAGTTGGTCATAAACAATATAAACACGCGATTATTTGGTGCTTCGTACATGGGAAATTAATTGGTACTAAATTACGTCCTTCTTACCGAAAATAAGAATTGGCGTTAGGCTGCATTAGGGTCTTGAGTTTGGGCAGGGACCGAAGGGCTTATCGCTGTAAAGAAGAATCATTGTCCACTGTGAACAGTAGCGTATCTGAGATCTTAATTTCGAAGATATCTCAAATTTCAGTTAACACAAGATATATCATATATGCTAGCGATATTAAATCTGATCCTTTAATCACGAACTGATTGTGTTTTAACCGTGTATTTTGCTACGGAAAAGGTTCTTCTCGTTTTGTCGTTTCAGACGAAGTTTGTACCCATAATTTTCCTCTGTAATGTAGAGTTCTTCACGTCACATTGTGAAGGAAGAGCATAAGCCCGTACATTATCAAGTTTTCCGTCAAGTTATTCCGAAATCAGCAATTGAGATTAACTGAGACTGGCCTGTCTAGGGAAAGCCTCGGTTTTGCTTCTGCTTTTTTTATACTCCCGTCGACGTCTTGAGCATAATTAGTACCTAGGCCTACTTGAAGGAGTCCCGGCACTACAGTAAGCGTATTTTAAACAGCGAACCTCTATTTTCTACAGGACCAGAATGTATTGCAGCACTCACCTATGTTGTGGGAGGTTGTAACAGCGCAACAGCCCCCTGGAGGGCCACCATGGGCCACCAAGGGGTGCTGGTGGAGGCCGAGTCCAAGGGCCGCTGCTGGCAGGTATGTGGGGGCCCCAGCTGTGGTCGCCAGGACGCTAGGAGTGTCCTGTA